TAAATGAATCTTGAGGATCAATTTGAAACATAGGATTTTATCCCAACTATGTTGGAACATTTGTTGTTAATGATACTGCTCGTGGAGCTTGACTCACTTTGGCAAAACCGCTCCAACGGTGAGCCACCCATACCAGCTATAACTTCAATGGTGCCCCGCTCCCGCAAAGCTTGATTGCTTCAACAATATTGATCTAGTAGGATAGGGTCCGCTTTCTTTGGAGTAAGGGCGCTCCCGTTGACCTCCGCCACTACGTGGCCCTTTCCACAAAGACAACATTGCTCTCATGAACTCGGGTCTACTAGGTGATTGATGGGGTTTAGTTTCTCTCTTCTCTCTCATTTTTTCATAGAGAAGAAGTCCCTTTTGAGCTCGATTAGAAGGGACATATTTGGGGAATTGTTGTGGTTGAACTAGGAATAGTGTGGGATCATCATCTCACTTCAAAACTTGTATGTAATGACCTCCTAGTTCATTTATTATTTTCAGCATACAGAGAGCATTCCTATAGTGACCCTAAGTCATTTATAACTTGCTAGGACAAACAGTTCAGTCACTTGGTCGTTCGTTTGCTTTTTATGCTAGTTTTCATATTTTGGAGCTTTTGAAATTTGAATGGTTGAGTTTGGTAAAAACTGTTGCTGGACGACCTCACTTGCAATTTTGACAGTTTCATTAGCTCCAAAACGTTGAGTTTAATTCACAAGAACCTTCAGCATGGATTTCGAGGCTTTCTAGCTTATTCTGAGCCACCTTGAGGGTATAAGCTTAAAATAGAGTTTGGGCATAGGAACCACTTTTCATCGAGATAAACTTTGTTGGAAGTTTCGACATCTTCGTTAAGTCCAGATTGCCAAAATTTAGTGAGATAACATATTTTGTTTGCGTGCATGGGCATCCAAAACAATCTTGAGCACCTAAGCAGAGTTTATTTGGACTTCGTAAAATTTTTTAGTGCATTGTGTTAGCGCAACCACTCAAGTGGCTCTAAGACGAAGTCTTTTTAGCGTCCAAGGTGTTTCTTAAGCAAGACCTATCACCTCAGGCCAGGCGCTTTAGCAGTCGTGACTTTGCTTAAGCGGCTAGGCGACTAGTTTAACCATAGGCTGTCTATGGCCGCTTTAGTGGTCATCACTTTTGTGATGCTGCTTAAGCGGCCATAGTGACCGTTTTTGTGGGATCTGCAAGTAGTTCAACTTGTTTTTGGGTTTATTTTCTTTTATGTTGTATTTGATTTTGGAGCTTTGAGAACTCGTTTCTTTGTGGGAAATCAATGTTATTATGAGAATTGGTTAGTGGATTGCTTTGGAACTTTGGTTGGCTCGTTCTTCACCGTATTAAACCGTAAGTTCCCCTCCCTCCTTCTTAGTTCTGAGCTTTAATGGTGAATTGGATTCTTTTTGTTGCATGATCTAAATTGGTTATTTTCTGAGCTCGGATTGTGCCCATTTTCTTGGCACAAGTTCTTTGAGCCAATAGGACCAATTAATGGAGTCAATTTTGAGATTTTTGATGCAGGTTTGACTCGTTCTTTGGGTTGTCTTCAATTGTTTTGATTTTGGTGCCGACACGTCTGTATTGATGTTTCGTTCATATATTGGCAACAATTGGAAGCCTTTTGGAAGGGGAAACTAAGGTAGTGTGAGTTTGAAGTGTGTGCGCTAAACTTTGAGGTATTTATGAATTGATGTTGTTATTTGTAGCTTGTTCTTGTCCTTGGCCTAGACCTAGACTAGTGACTGCCTTAGACTTGTGTTTTGGAGTCGATAAGCCTTTAGGTACTCCAACGTCACTTCGGACGACTTAGCTCCATATAAACTAGTATAGCAGACTTGAGTTTGATAATATGAGGCCTTAACTAGGTGAAAACTCGACTCTCGTTACCTTTCATCCATAACTCTCTTAATGCTATGGCCCCAATGTTTTTTCATTGTGAAACCTGGCTTCGTTCGACTGCTTTGGGATTGGTCTTCGACTCAAGCTTAAAGTGGCTTGTGGCAGATATGAAGTTGAGCCCTAATTTATGGTAGCCCTTATTATGATGACTTATGTCATGAATTCCTTCTCCGATTAATCTGATTGTCATTGTTTAACTTGTGGTCACACTAATCATATAGTCGCGGGTCAAGGTTCGGACACATCGTCTTCAGCCACAATCTGGATTTTAGACACATTATCCTTGTTAGGTTGAGATTTGGCGGTATGGTTCTATTGGGTTCTTGGCATGTCTTAGCCGTGGTTTGAGATCCAGACTATGCACTTCCTTGTTTTGGATTTCAATAGTTCTCATTCATAAATAGTTATAGTTATTTTGTCTACCCACCGGGCTTAAAAGAGTCCATTTGAGTTATTTACTTTCAATTGTGCATTAGTGTACCCTTTGGGCTCATGGGGCCAATTAGGTTAATAGCTAGTTTTTTGTTGTTCTTTTCATTTGGTCATGGACTCGTGTGCTTTGTAGTTATTCGTTTGTTGTCATTTTGCTCGCTTGAAATCTGGTTGATTTTATTTTCTCGTTTTTCAGATTGATTTTACTTTCCAAATTCAGTCGAGCTATGATGCCTATTGAGTACATGTTGTTTTGGTACTCATACTGCACTCTATATTTGTTTTCTTGATGAAGATCCTAGTATTAGTTGTCAACGTTGATTCGATCTAGTTGCAGAGGATTTTAGAGTTGAGGGTTAGATTATGGCATCCTAGTTTGGCCTATATTCTACTGTACATAGTTGTTGCCTACTCTTTTGTCTCCGAGACGAATATGTACTTTTGGTGCATTTTTGGGACTTGTACTCATATAACATCTTTATACTGATGTCCACCAGGTCGTGGGTTTGTACTTATTCATGAAGCCTTTACTGAACTAGAACAAGGCCCACGACTGTCTGCATGATACAATAGAATGTTTCTGTTGAATTTGCTTTTAGTTACTGTAGTTTTTTGGCACAATAAGTTAACGAATTTGAATTTTAAATATTTTTTAGGCTTATCAATTTTCAAGAATATTTAATCTTTTTTTTGAATATTTGTTATGCAGAATTCTGTAGACTATGTTTTCAAGTTGACTACTTAAAGCCCTATTATGCTTAGTAAATATATTGAGAGATATTTCGATCAATTCTTTTTGCTGTCCCACTTTAAAAATACCAATAGTGGTATCGAGAGTTTAATTGAAAGTGAGTTCTTCTAATGAACTACCATATCATTTTTAACACGTTAGAACTACTTTTGACCCGCATTGGCTATTTTCAATCCATTTTAACTCTTTAGGGTTATTTTCAACCTATCCTTTGTTCAACAAATTTTAACATAAAAAATGACAAACAATAATCTCTTTCAATGCCTCAAAAATTTCCACAGACGAAAATTATTAATTTGGTCCTTAAGAATAAAACCATATTCTGAAAACAATGTGATATGTGATGGTAGAAAAATCTTTACAACAACATATTTCAAATCATACAAAGTTCAAATTAAAGCACTTTCAAAAGAGCCTTTAAACACGACAAAGTTATTGAAGTCATTTTTTAAGCACCAAGTATAAAGAAGGAAAAGATGAAAGAATGAACTTTTAAAAGTTAAATAACAATAAACATATATAATTCAACATCAATTGCCAAAGTAGAAATTGAGGAGGAATATTTCTTAACTTGCAGTATCTAATGCAAAGGAGTGTTGAATTTGTTTCTAATTACTGCAATAATTTTTTAGCACAATAAATTACATTTTAGCACAATAAATTACATAGCTTTAAGATGAATTTGAATTTTAAATCTTTATTATATTTTAATTGTTGAGAAAATTTAGCCTTTTTTGAATTTTTATTATGTAGATTTTCTGGAGATTATGTTTTCAAGTTAACTATTTAACACTTTATTATTTTTCATATAAATATTGCGAGATGTTTCAATCCATTATATTTGCTTCCCCATCTATTAAAACTACTAACAATCTATTAAATAAAGAAATAAATAACTGAACTGGAGCCCTTCAAAAGGATATTTTACCAATGAAAAGGATCTGACCGAAGCTCTTGATGTCGATCTTGAGTACATATATCTATATAATTAAAATATGCAAGACATGATGAGGTCAGTATGTGAAATATAGTGTATGTAAATTAATTGAATGAAACACTGGATAGACTGAACATACAAATCTGAAGAACAATATACATAAAGACAAAAAATTGAATATCTGTAAGTTACAATATGCAAATATATTAAAAATAATTAAGCTTTACAACACACATATATATAACAATATCAAATGCTTAAATAGTATACAATGATACAAATTTTCGTTTCCTATTCCACTTACCAATTTTCAAGGTGTTACAGATGTAAAATGAAATATATACCAATAATATCGATCTACAAAAATGTGTTAGGCAAGACACAATTGTATGATGTGTTTGAACAAAATAAATTAAAATTAATCAACATACGAATTGTACTTCTATAACAACGACTCAACATCGCAGGGTTAAAGCATACCGAATAATCTTATTTTCAGCTATAAAGTCGGTTGAGTTTTATTTTGTTCACTATCTTGAAAGTTAGCTTTGTAATTCCGAATCTATTGTTTTATTTACTTAAAATTTCATATCCATATTTTTATTTCACATTCTACCAGGTCTAAAATTTAAATAAGAAAATAAAGGAAAACACCAATTAACAACTAATCCTTAAAAAATTATGTTTATTTTATAAAAATAAGATGTCATATGAATTCATTTTACTCATTTTTGTTCTAAAATAACTCTAGTGAATTGACATGCATAGTGATGCATTTGATATTTATCAGTACTCTAGTGAATTGACATGCATGGGATACAAAAAATACTGCACAGGTCAACCTTAAGAGCCACAAAAATGCAAATTTTAATGGGCAGTTACTTATGGTGCGGATATAATAAGGTAAAATAATAATAATACAGGTTACAACACAAAGGAATAATTCCAGATGTGCAATGTAAATTACCTTACAAAAAATTAAAGATGATGAATGGAACAATAAAGAAATTATCAGAAGATGTGGAGATTTATATATTTTTCAAGCTCCCAATGAAATCTATTATGCGATTCAAATGTGTTACTAAAACTTGGTGCAATCTCATGCAATTGTTTAGTTTCATCAATCTTCATCATAACTACACCTCTTCAAAAAAAGACGAATTCGTTCTATTTAAACAATCATTGAAAGAACAAAATGTATTTACAAATCCTTTATCTTTTCTCCGAACTCCTAATGGTGATGATGATCTTGATTATATTACTCGTGATCTAGAGGTGCCATATCTGTCCACCGGTTATGGTAGTATCTTTCATCAATTCAACGGTCCTTGCCATGGTTTGATTGTTTTAACAGATTACGTAAACTTTGTTATATTAAATCCAGCTACAAGAAACTATCGGCTTCTCCCAAAAAGTCCTTTTGTTTGCTCTCGTGGTTTCTATCGTGCCATTGGAGGTGTTGGATTTGTTTATGACGCGATCCAAAGGACCTATAAGGTAGTTAGAATTTCAGAAATTTCAGGGGAAGAACCATTCAATGACCCTAGTGTGGTGGATTGGATAGGGGAGGTTTATGATTTTAGCGTTGATTCGTGGAGAAATCTACCGTTTGGGGAAGAAGAATTTCCTTGGCCTTATAACTGCCCTTTTGCGGAAATGTATTACAAGGGCGTTTTCCATTGGTATGCCCATAGAAATTTGGTGGCAATTCTTTGTTTTGATTCTAGCACTGAAGTTTTTCGCATAATGCAAGTGCCTGAAATATGTTCCTTGTATGACGAGAAGGTTCATTGGCTCACGATCTTAGATGAGTGTTTAACATTTATTTGCTACCCTGACCCGCGAAGGGTAAGTAGTCCACTACAAGAAATAACTGATATTTGGATAATGAAAGAGTATAATGTGAACGACTCTTGGATTAAGAAATTTACAATAAGATGTCCACCTATTGAATCCCCGTTGGCTATTTGGAACGACAGTTTATTGCTTCTTCAAGATAAAAGGGGAATTGTGATTTCATATAATCTAAACTCTGACAAAGTGGAAGAATATAAATTACATGGTTATCCAGGGAGTTTGAGAATTATAGTTTATAAAGAGAGCTTGATGTCAATCCCTAAAGGTAGCACACAAGTTGAAAATTATTAGGAATTGCACTTGCTTTTGCAAAATTTTGATATTCACCAGATATGAACCAAGTTGAGGCAAAAACTTGTTTTATAATTTTTTAAATTACAAGTGCTCACCATGTCTCATCTTACATCTTTTATTTCGTTATGTATTCAGTGAAAACTTATTATACTCATATACTCTCTTTCAATTTAGTGTCACTCACATGTTGGTAATTTGGATATATGCATAGTTTTGGATTGACTGAAGTTATAAGTTGCATTCACAGATTCTTAGTGCATAACTAGACAGTAAATTCTTACAAGAAAAAGTCTTATTTAATTTACATTGTAGCTGCCTCTTGATTAAATTTTACTGATAAAAAAGTTATGAGGACCTTTATAGTGAATTCAACTTAAGAGGCTATAACCAAAAGAATTAGTTTCAAGGAACTAGTATACACTAAAACTGAAATTCATGTTGTCACGGCCTGACTTTCCGAGTCATGAAGCCACCTATTGAAACACACAAGTGGGTAAGCCGAGCATTACCTAGACCCACAAGTAGTGAATACAAGGGTAGAACTGGAACATTACTAACAATGAGAAAAGACAAACGAAAAACAAACCAAAGACTAAATACAAAGGAAACCACCCTAGAACCAGTCCCGAGTACACAATTGTCTAACAATATAAATACAAGTCCTAAAAGTGGACCAATCAAGTCGTCTCACAGGCAAAACACAAGCTAACATATGAAGAAAAGCAAACAAGCTGGTCTAGGATGCCAGATGCTCACCATCATCTCTGATATCCACAAGCTTCAAAAGATGGCACGAATGATGTCTGTTGGTAGCTGATGCTAGGACCTACATCATGAAAAGATGTGAATGTAGCATAAGTATAAAAACTGAGGTACTCAGTAGGCATCAAAGGCCGACCAAGAAAGGGAAAATCAATATGATAAGATAGAAGCTAGACACAACAATGGTCAAAGCGGAAAAGAAAGAAGGACACTGAGTATATAGAAAGTAAATCCAAGTATAGGTAAACAAAAACTAACTGGACCCCCTCCCAGGCCCCCTTTCCTTACAGTCAAGTGGCTGAACGCCCCTTGAATCTTTCTTGAGTTGACGACTGGGACATCTACATCTTGGATCCGGCCTTGTTAGTCATCCGTAGAGCTAAAGGGAATTTTGGAAGCCATTCCCATTGCCACACACCAATACCAACCAGGGTGGCTGTCAATAAGTCCTACCTCTAAGAGAAAGGAGCACTTGTTTGCGCGCTTCGTAAAGTCCCATAAGCCTAGAAGGTACACTCGTGCGCAAGGTTAAATGTAAATCTGAACGGACCCCATAAGCCCGACAGGTATAGTAAATATCGAAGTCTATCAGAAAGAAGAGTAATCCAGATCCAAACCCAAGAACATCAATCGGGATCCCAACCCAAGTAGCCATCAACCAATCAACTCCTAGCCCATCTAGTAAGAGCGGAAATCAACCAATGTCCCCCAACCATAAAGTCCACTCCCAAGCACGTGAGCCACCCAAAAAGCAAGACTTTGGGGGAGGAGGGGAGGGGTATGAATTCTATATAGTATGTCAGATATCCAAGCAGTCCAGCTAGCCAATCTACTCCCAGTGGCATCAGCCGCCCAACTATAAAGAATGACAGGGGATGTATGAACTCCGAAGAGGATATCAAGTAGGATCCAAGCCACCGTGGATCAACGTCTACTTCAGGAGGTATCACAAAAGGCTCCAAGCTGAAAGGACTCCAGACTTGAGAAAGGATAAAATAAATAGTAATACATTGAAGCCACAAAAATAGAGAGAGGAGATACAAAGGGCCAACAAGTTGCATAAACGCCTAAATTAAGGCTCACTCTATCATACCCAAGTATGCTATTTCATTCTACAAGAACCTAGTCCATTTAAATGACGTTAGAGGCATATCAATGTCACAAGGTACACAAGTCTAAGTTGAAATTATTCTACGCTAGATTAAGGACAAAACATGCTCCAAAAACTACGTACTAAATAAGTAAATCACATAGTATGACAACATACATACAACCCCAACTAATCAAGGTACTACCCTCGAAACATTAGTAATAAACCTTAAGTCTTGGTTTCTAAAAAGAAAAGAAGGTATAACTAGGTGCCCTCCCCCAATCCACACTAATCATCATGAATGCACACATCCGTGATCAATCTAATTCGAATGAAAGTCATAACCTACTTATAGACCAACCGCGTGCGCTAAAGATGACAAGGACAATGCTTTTTCCATCCGAACGGCCTTTTAAATCTGTCTAGAGACAAAAATCACCCAAAATAGGGACAAACCAATTTTAGAGTTAAACATGGGTCGTGGGACCTGCGTCGGATTTTTTGAATTTGACTCCTTCAAGAGGTTCTAAAATATGCCTCTAACTGTGTTCCGAATATGAACAAAATCCGATGCCTAAAACAGCCCACAAAATCACAAATAATCAACAAGTGAAGCAACATGGAGTGATGGGGGAACAACTCAATCACGAAATTGACCTCATTTGGCGGTCCTTAAATAACTCTTTATCACTTCATTATGTAGCCACACTCCCAATAATAACTCAGGAATTCGAACCACATAAATCAGAGCTTGAATGAGAGAGATCCCTTTAATAATAATAATAGAGGTTGCAAATTCGCTATATAAATAGCCCAGAGCTGGTCTCTAAAAGTCTAATTCTAGTAGCGGAAAGTTTGATTTCTTGTCGCTAAAACCCTGCACTAGATACCAAAACTTTAGCTGGTTTGCTTAAACTCCAAATTCTCTAACGGGGTTCCTGGGATTCATTTGCAACCTGTTAAAACAAACGAAATATAAAATCTATTAATTTAAATATTTTGGAATCTATGGAGCAGTGTGAATTCACATACGAGATCATCTCGATAAAAAATGAGTCTTACACCTAAACTCTATTTTAAGCTAAAATCCATAAGGGGGCTGGGAATTAGTCTGGAAGCCTTGGGATCTAAACGAAGTGTCACTCCAGACAAAATTTAATTTTTTTGACCTAACGACACTAATATAATTCTCATCCAACCTCGTTTACATAGAATGTTAACTAATATCAAACTAAGGACTTAACTTGAAAGTTAAAATGCTGTCATGACCCAAGGGTACCCCCTAGACGTAACAAGGCAAATAAAACTCCGGAAAGCACCATGTAGCCACTTAACATATCACAACATAAAACATTGTGTCCTCATAGGTGTTTAGCTAGTTCATCCACCTAAGCTAACAATATGGTTCTACCTTAGACAACAAGTAGGACAACCTCTTTTCGGTGTGGGGTAAACATCGGATTCCATGTTTAGCTCACATGGTTTATGTCGATTAAGGCTTAACCCACTATTATAGTATGAACAAGAATATGAACTATGAACTATAGTTACTCAAGAAGCTTTACTTAGTATGGGTAAGAGTATAGTATAATATTCATGCATTACACAAATATTCTTTGAGGGTATTTATGGGATATATCTCTTATGGTATGATAATATATGAGTTGATTATGGTTATGACTAACCTATATTTTCCTGCATTTTTTCCAAGTGTAGGGTCCGGTTCTCAAGGTGGTCCCAATTATGGCTAAATCTTGGATTTGTTCATTTTTCCTTGCTTGTGGTGATTCCACATGGTTCGAGGACGAATTTTATCTTTGTTGTTTTTTTTTGTATTTTACAATCTTATTATGTTGTATAAGTTGTGACCTATTTGATTCAAGTATTGTAATAGATGGTTAACTGAGACAAGTCTAGACTTCCGCTTTCCTTTATGAAAATTTAGGACTTCAAATGCATTTTTACTCTTATTATTCTAGCAACACATGTGCTAACCATCCAAGAGACAAGCCCAACCGAATTCAGTTAGGGAAGTTAGGGGCAGGTGCACATGTGGGGGTCAAGCCATGTGGGGCTGAGCTTCCTAACCAACTCTATGCTCTAATTAACTTACCTAATTAGCTAACAAACCTAGGACTAACCAAAATAAACTAACTAGTGCACCCGACAACCTAAGACCTGATCGGGTGACACTAACCTAGTAACTAACTGAAGGAACATCCTAGTACCTAACCCAGGATGGTCCAAAAGTGTTAGTTATGGTCCTAGTGACATAGGGGTACTTTAGTAATTACCCTAGGTCACTTCATTAATTAAATAATCAACTTAATTAATTAATTTAAATGGTCAAATCGAAATCCTTAAGCAAATTTTTAACTAACTAAAGAAACATCCTAATACCTAACCTTGGATGGTCCAAAGAGGTTGGCTATGGTCCTAGTGACTTAGGGGTACTTTAGTAATTACCTTAGGTCACTTAATTAATTAAATTAACAACTTAATTAATTAATTAAAAGTCAAAGTCAAGGCCGAGACCCGTATAAAAAAATTAGATTTGGCTAAGTCTAATGTACTCCTATTTTTAGTCAATTTAGGAGAGGCGTTTTGGTAATTAGCTAAATGACTTATTTAATTAAGTTAATTAGGCTAAGTTGAATTAGTCAATATCAGTTCCTAATACCTAGAATCACTTTATTCTAGTAGAAAAGCACGACTGAAAACAGTGAGCAAAACGCAAGAAAAATAGAAAATACTCTCGAGTTCTCTTAGGCGATTTCAAGGCTATTCTTCAAGAGTTTTTGTGCAAAATTCAAGGTGATATTTGTAGATTCAATTCTAAAGTAAGGTATGGGTTTCTTTCTTGTATTCCTTTCTGCAAGAAGCTTTTCAAATGTTTTGAATTCAACAAGACGAAACTAGGGTTGTTCCCAATGAAACGAATGTTCATCTCCCTAGTTCTCCCTATTTCCGATTTTTATAGGATGTATAATGCAAATCTCAAGCATGTTTTTTGTATGTGGTGCTAACTGATCATTATGTGTAGTTTTCTTGGTTTGATAATGTTGAATGATACCTATAGGTTAGATTTGTATGATTAAAGTGTTATTTACATGAGACAAAGAATGTTGTAATGCCTAATTGTGTT